CAGGGCAGCAGCAGGGTCAGGATAAATCCTCCTGGGACATCTCTGCTCCCATCCGCTTACAAATTCATGTGACGGCTGCACCGGGGGAACGCTGAGAACCCCGAGAAGATACCACACCGTGGCCCATTTATTTATTTATTTCCCCAAACTCCGGAGACACTTTAAAAGGATTTCCTAATGTGGCTGGAATCATTTCCACAGGCAGCCAGCTCCAACTTCATTTTCAAGGGTAATCTCCTTTCGAGAGATGGCAGAGGGATTATTTTAGAGCGGTGTAATAAGCATGCAGCAGAGAGACTGCGTTTGTTGCCAGTCCTGTGCAGCAGCCTGCACAGCCAGGGCAGGCTGGGCTCCTTGGTTGTCCCTGCAGAGAAACCAGGACTGAGAGCGTCAAAGAGGCTGAAGACAGTCTTTGGGGAAGGGCGACTTTTCTTTCTGCAGCAGAAATAACCCACTGCAGTTCTTCAGGTCTTTGCTCTTTGAAGAGGAAAGCCAGGACAGCGCAGGAGCATCCCTCAGTCCGGTAGTTTCAGTGGGAAATCCTTGGTGCCTTCACTGCAGAGGGTCCTCCAACCCCAGCCACCATTCCACCACGTGTATGATCTGATCCAGCCACAGGAGGGGGACAAAGATGCACTTGGTGAGAAAGTTTTGTCGTGTGGAAGATTTAATTTAACCACCGACCACAAGCCAGGGGGACTTCTCCCCTGTTGGCAGCCGCAGACCCTGTGCCTGTCGGTCCTGCGTGGTTCAGTCTTGCCGTGCGTAGGGTAGGGCCCGTGGTGTCTTGTTTAACAAAGGTCTTGGGATAATCTTGTCTCTGGCACAAGGTGAGCAGTAGCACCTAACATCCCACCAGCACTGACCAGTCTGGGGCGATGCCTACGAGCAGGGCTCTGCTGGGAGGCAGCGAGCGCTGCCCAGCCCATAATGCCATCACTGGAAGATGCCCCGACCTGCATGATGCACACCCTGCCCACGGACACACAGCAAGGCCAGCGGGCACGGCAGCGCTGGCTGCAGCAAAGGCAGCCTCCTGCAGGGCTGCAGGCAGAGCAGCAGGCAGCGGGGCTGGGATGGAGCGAGCTCAGCAGTAGGGAAAGCAGGTGGCCGAGCAGCAGGGAGGGATACTTGCCAACCACGCACATCACTAGGATCCTGAAAGGAAACAATTTGTTTAACTAGTTTGCCAGATAATATCTATATTATGAATGCACCAAACATTGCTTATTCCTCCTCGCTGGAGGGTTCTTGCTTCCAGGATGAGCATGGTGTTTTCTCCAGTTTATGGCTAGGAGAAGATTGGGCAGAGTGGCTGAAGCCCCAGCGGCTGCTTTGCAAGGAGCAAGTGGGTCTTTGCTGTGAGTGTCAGCAAAGGGGGGGTGGTTCTGCACCCCCATTAATCACCCCACTTTTCTGTGGGGCCAAGTCTTCTCAGGGTGTCCACGAGCCTTTATTTATTTCCCCACACCTCTAAGTTTGTTCCTGTTTGTACCCATTCAGGGTGCACGGCAAACACCTGGGGAAGTGCTGCCTCCCAGCATGTCCTCCACGGCCACCTCTTAAGCCTGTTGCTTCTCCAGAAGTCCTCCAGGGTGGGGTTTCAGGTTGCCCTGAGGCCAACTTTTCAAAGGAGACCAAGTTCAGTTCAGGGTGCTAAATTACAACTAAATAGAAATTGTGCAGGAGAATGGAGCAGAGGATGATTTGCCAGAGTGAGGTTGTGCTTTTGACAAAAATCAACAAAATGGTAAAATGCTTTACATTTGTTTAATAAGATGCAAGGTCTTTTTTTTCTGGGAAAGTGAGTACTTCCTATGAAGAACGTAGCTTTGTCAGGCATTGTGTTGTCTGTGGGGAGGAACACAGCTTTTCAGAAGTGAAAATGGGATGTAAGGCCCCATGGAGGAAATGTATCTGTAGGGACAGGCAATAGCACAACAATTTAACTTCAGCTTGGGAGTTTTATGAACTGCACAAACAAACCTAGGAGGCAAGAACTGCCCTCCCCGTCTTCGTTTGCCATGTCTCCCCCATACCCGTACCAAAATTGCTGTTTCTTGTCTTGAGCCATTCAATGCAGGTCATGCCCATGCTCTAACACAGACCAGCGTGTGTCAGGCTGTCTGAGCTGAGCTGTCGGGGGGCACAAACATCCATGGGATGGCAGGGAAGGGGGCCAGTGGGTGTGCAGAGGTGTGCGGGTGCTGCAGGGCTGTGGTACTTCTGTATTAAACCCTCGCGTTGCGGTAACTGAGCATCTGCACTCCAAATCCCTTACAAAACCAGAAAGTGAACTGTCCAAAACTAGATCGTGTTCAAGCTGCAACGCATTTCTGTGGTTTTCCTGAAGTGACAGGGTTTAAAAGGAAAATGGATGAGGAGATGGATGTGACGCGTGACTGACAAGGGCATTAGTGTGACTGCAGACAAGAATTCACAGCAGCATCAGACAAACACGATGGAAGCGTATTTACGGATCTACATGGACTTAACTGGTCACCAAAACAATTTCCTTTTCTGTTCCCCAGAGGAAAAAATGAAGCTAGGAAGTATAATAAAAACTGAAACTTCAGTGCTGCCTCTTGCTGGCTTCCTGGAGTTTGAAGAACTGTGAGTGCACCTGAGCACGGACAGTGCCAGGCAAGTGCACCTGATGCTGTTTGCAAGAGCAGAGGGGCTGTTCCTGCTCTGCAAATGCGTTTGGGACAGGCGACGTGCAGGCGGGCAGGAAGGGAGGGCAGAGAGAGGAGCTGGAGGGTTTGCAAGTGGCATAACCAGGCATGCAGCTTCCCTCTCCTCCCAGTTGCCTTTTCCCTTCATTACTGCTGAGATATTTTCCTCTAGTGCTTCAGCTTCACTTAACTAGCTCTTTGATCAGTGTTTATAGTAATGGAGCTTGGTTTAAGCTCTAATACCCCTAAATGCTGTAAATATATATCTATAAACACTAAACAAAACATTCCCTATATAATAAGCAGAGACCAGAACTGTGAATTAGGGCCCCAGACAAGGCAGATGCACAGCAACAATTCTCAAGGACTTTGAAGTTAAAAGCCTTGCTGTGTAAATGTAAGAGCTTTTGTAAGTCAAACTAAAAGTCTCATTAAGGCAAAACTTCCATGATCAGAAACCTGACTGGTTCAGTCAGAGTCCCCAAGGACGGGAGTATTTAGCACACTTTCTAATTAAAAGACGGGAGTTATGGTACAGCAGTTAAAATATGTTTTGTACTTGTCTCGGAAGCAGCCGATCTAGTCAGTAAGTTGTGTCTGCAGAGAGAGACTGCGAGGGCTCTGTGCGAACAGGACGGAGGCAAACCAAGCTGCAAACAGGCAGAAAGGGGGACCTGGAAGCCTCCTGTGGTTTTCTCTGTGTGCTGGGATGTTGCCAGCCTGGGTAAGCAAGCAGCATCAAGCCGAACCTGCTTTGGGTGCTGCAGAAAGCCACTCTTGTGGACATCTTCTGGAAGTACCCTGTGCACTGCGAGGCGTTACGAAGGGGCTGCCCCAGTGGCCAGGGAAGCCAGATTCTGTCCATCGCCTTCCAGGGAGAATGCATTAATCAGAGCCAGAAATAGCCAAACACTTAACTAAAGTGTTTCTTTAGGGGGGCAGTACGGGGAGAGTGAGGAGGAGAAATAAGTTAAAAACAAAGTGCATTTCAATATTTATTCTGATAATTCAGTTCTCTTAAAAACTGCTTTTGTTTCAGATTTCCTGTTGTTTTTAAAAGCTAAGAAAAGGGTAAGAGCTCCAGGTAAAAAAGGATATTTTGCTTAGAGCCAAAAAAAAAAATCCAAAATGCTATGTATTTTTTAAAAACTCGATTTTATAAAATATTTGTCCAATATTTCAGAAAGAACCCACACATTATTTCAGTTTGATACCAAATGGAAACCTGTCCCCATTTTCCCACGTGCCAGCAAACTAAAACATCATTTATTTTATAGTTCAGTGTCAGGACTGGTGTCCTGGTTAAATTCCTGCTGAGAGCTCATCTGAATTCAAAAGCAAAACTCCTGCTGAGTTTAGTAGTCTAAATATTCTACTTTTTTAGGTTAAATATTCTACTTTGTGTCACTCTTTGCTGTTTGCTTTGGGCACAGTGGTCTAACTTTCTGCCCTAAGCTATTTTATTCTCTTTCTTGGCTTCTTAATGCTCTCTGCATCCTGCTGGAGAGCAGCCCACGTGGCTGGGTGGAGAACCTATAGGTCGATGGAGGCTTTTGTCAGCTTAGAAATCTAGTAATCTGGGAGTGAAGCCTGCTTGTCTCACCTCAGTTGTGCAAGTGAGATGCATGTACTTGCGTCATGGTATGCAAACCGCTGCTCTGAAATGCTGCTCTGCCTTCCTGTCATATCGCTGGGAAACACCTTGATAACCACCGTGTGTGCACGCAAAGGATCAGAGTTACGAAGGGCCTCCTTAGATCTCTTGAAAAGTAAATCCCCATTAATGCAGCTATATGGAAACAGGGCTGTCAGGAAAGATCTAGCCCAATTTTTGGTTGTGGGATGACTTGAAAAGCCTACCATGTTTCAAGAACACTCTGTTCAGAGCCAAGTCCTGAAGCTCATGCTTCCCCAGGCAAAGGCTCGCTGCCTCCAGCTGCTGCTCAGTCAAACCTTGAGAAATAGGTCAATTGAAACTCATTTAAGTTTGGCAGGTGCGTGGCCTTGAGTGCATTGTCAGTGCACCCAGGATTACAAATATTCACACGTGCTTTGTTTGCATTATGCTAATACAGCACCAGTTCTTGGAAATGGGAGGTTACATTTTTCATTAACCCTTAAATAAAGAACACCACACTCATTTGAAACATGGCATTTTTAGGAAAAAACTTTATCCAAAGCAATGAGTACAACTAAGAAGAGAGAAGGGTGGGTGGAGGCAAAATTTCAGTATCTAGAAAACAAATGAGTTCAGCTGGCTTTAGCTGAACACGCTAATTAAAAGCAAAAAGCAGGTAAGGCCTGGGGACAGCTTTTGGGTGAGGGGTGGGTGCCTAACTGGGATGTGGGTGAGCTGGGTTTGAGCACGGGGTGCTTGTTGCCTTCCCAGCTCAGTGCCCTGGGCTGTCCCTGCAGCCTTGAAGCTCCCCCAGCGCTCTGTATGGAATAATCAGGGCAAGCAGAATTATGCAAAAAATAGGTTTTCATTTTCCTTTAGCCCTAGCAGTATTATTATTTTTAATGAGTAGTTTATTCCTGATTATTAGTGCTCTGTTTTATTAGGCTGTGCTGCTATTTGTTTAAGGGATTGCCTTGTGATCTGTAAGGGAGGAGAAGTGCATTGCCCTGCATCTGACTTCAGTTTACACTGGTGGGAGTCAAAAAAAAAATTTGACTTTTTCTTTAGGCTTTTGGTGCAATTGGCACAAAGATTGATATTTGGAAACATAGACGCTGCCTACATGGTATGAAAGGTGTTTCTGAGGTGTATTTCCCTTGAATTTGGCAGAAAGCAGCATTTTTATGCTGTCAGTTTGACTGGGTCTCTTAATGAACAGCTGTTCCTCACTGGCAGCAACCAGTTTCTTGTGGATTATTTCTGAAACAGCAAGAGACAGCAGCAATCCTTTCTGTTACCCTTGACTAAAGGCTGCCTGTCAAAATGTTTCTTTAGTCTCTCGTAGCTAGAATTAGGATATTTTTCCCAGCTCATGAGAAGTAGGTGATTTCAAAGGATTTCCCAGCCTGCTTCAGGTTTCCTCCCAAAATTCTGATTTGTGAATTTTGTGAACAAAGAAAAGAAATCTCTTTCAGGTCAGATCAACAGAAACCTTTCTTTCAGGTGAGCCTAAATGCTTTATCTTACCTTTGACATCCTTTAAACTGCTTCTTTTTTTTCCAGTGTGAAATGAAGACTATATTTTTAAAAGTTATTTCAAAGCAGAAAGTTAAAAGTCTGTAAGTTTCATTCTGAGAACGTGGAACTAAGATGCTTTGACGACTCTGAAACTCTTTGGGAAGTAACTGTAAGTGGAATATTTATCAGATGAGACCTTTCTAAGGGTAGTTTGGGTGAATGACAGGACCACAAGCAGCTTTAAATTAAATGTTTTGTATGGTAGAAATGTAAAAGGAATGCTATTTTGGGAAGTTCCCCTCTGTGAGAGCTGCTGCTGAAATCAGGAGCTTCAGATCCCTGCCATGTGGCAGTTGTTTTGATGTAGGTAACCCTGAATCAAGGTTTGGGACTGATGTCCTGTTTATTTTCCTGTTGTAAACTGTTGTGGCTTGCCATTTTCTCCTTCCACTCTGGGTATTTTTAATCCAGGAAGGAAGAAAATGGTGTCCACAGGACTAGATGAAATTTAAACAATTGTCATTTCTTTGGTTCCAGTTCTTACTGGCAGGAATTAGGAAGGAGAGGAAGGTGAGTGTGAACCAGAATGTTAGCAAAGCTTTCCAGGCATTTCTTGGGGCACATAGTGCTAAAAATCTGTTGCTCCCTGCTGAAGAAGATGCTTACACAGTATCTGTTTGCTGCTGCCAGGTGTTTATCAGTAGATATCCCCACCTGGGCAATGTTCCAGGAAGCATCAGTGCTGTTTGGAAGGTCGAGGTGCCCAGTGCTGGTTATCTGTTTTTTCATCCCTGCCAAGCTCCTGAGTGTCTTCAGCAGCCAGAATCATTTTCAGTGCCTCCTCCTCAAGTCTCTCTGCTTCACTTTTCCTACGTATGCTCTACATCTGTCTAAGGCAGTTTTCTTTCTGCTAGTGTTTTCACAATATAGATGAAAACTCCAGCATAATTAAATAAACCAGTGCTGAACCCCCCCAAAGAACAATTATCTGTTCTGTGAAATACTCCCGGCAGAAATCTTGGAAAACTTACATGTAATTAGTACGTCGAGCCCTGCTGCAGAACTAAGTATAATGCATTAGGGCTTGTAGTGCTGACTTCTCTTAGACTCCAGTCGACCAGTGATAGCAAACCTGTGGGCAGCGTGCAGACTGACTGCATTTATGCATTTACACACGGTTAGTGTAATAATTTTTGAAGCTATTTGAAGTTTACGCTACCCCAGTCTCCATTATGCTTGCTAAGCTGTTCTCCCAGTGTGCCCTCACCCTTTAAATGGCTTTTCTCTGGATTCTGTGTCTTTGGGGGAAGGAATGGTCTTGGAGGTGAGAGCGCTGGGCCAGAACTTAGCAGAACTGGATTAATGGCACAGCTGGGCTGTAGGCTTCTGTTGATGAATCGCTTTGGCCCAGATCTTAGGAGGTGTCCAGGAGCCCAAAGTGACAGACAGGATTGTTCCAGGATACGTGTACATCCAGCCCTCGCTGATTGGGATTGCATTAGGTGCCTGAAGGCATCCTCTGTTGTCTGACCCAAGCTATGGTAAAGTCAACAGAAAGACAAAAGGAAATCGGTGCCTTTATATTAGGTGCTTATTGAACATGGAGCCATCTTATTTGTAAGCAAGGCTCAGGGGAGAGCTCAAAGCCCTCTGTGAAGCCTGGCAGCGTTAATGATGGAGGGTGCTGGGCTGGCAACTCTCTTGTACTTCCTAAAGGGAACAATTTGCCAAGAGGGGTCACAGCCCTAGAAGTTGTTAGTTCTGTAACAGCGGGTTGAGTTGTCTTTTTTGTTCTTCCAAATACTTCCAGTGCTTCCCCAATAGAGGAAAAAAAAAAAACCCAAACACATATATGGACTAGAAAATCCTATAGCTCTGCTTTAGATCAGCTAATACACCAGCTACCTGGGGGAAAAGAAATAGTTCTGACAGGGAGTTCTCATACTAGATACATATTTGGAGTCTTTTTTATCATAAAAGAGGAAGAAGCCATGCTTAATTCACCACTGGAAAGTACCCAAGCGCTAGGATGAGAAGGGAGATGTCTGAAAACTGATGTAAAGCAGAATATTAACACCAGTCTGTGAGCACTACTTTATCTTGAAAGGACCTATAATAAATATTTTCAAAGGTATAAGATGATGTGCATCCACTGGGTATTAAAATCTGGAAGGGGACTAGTTTGAAGACGAGCTTTGTAAGGAAGATGCTCCTCAGGGACAGTGTTGTAGGTTTGGGATGTGCTTCTTGCCTTTCCTGCAGGTGCGAGCAGGGCTGACACAACCCTTCTGGACTACAAACTGGTGCAGGCATGTTTCCTGTAATGTTGGATGGAAGTGGTGGACCTGAAACAGGAGTGCAGGGATGGGGAGGGACCGCAGGGAAAGCTTCTCCCTGGGGCAGCCACGTCAATCTTTGCTATCACAATTTCTCACCGCAGCCGGCAGGGGCACGGCCAAACCACAAGACCTGCTGCTAGTCTCTCCTCCTGGGTGAGATCCTGGTTTGCATTGGGCTATCGAGGAGTTCTGCTGTCCCTTGGAGGATGGAGAGCTGTTCCCTTGTTTCTATGGGAACACCAGAGGGAAGGAGGATTTGGTACTGCAGGTTGTCTGAAGTCCTAACCCAGGTGGCTTGCAATGGCTACAACATCCAGCAGGAACAAAAACGACGATGGATTCACTGTCAGGATAGGAGTTAGAAGTCCTCTGCCAGGCCTCTTAAACGGAACTGCCCAATAATACAGTCACACAACGGAGGAAACGGGTGGGTCTGGGCAGGCAGGTGCAGCTACAGAAAAGGGAGAGCTCTCAGGAGGGCTCCACCTCTGCCTCCTGCCCTCTAACAGAGTGAGCCCAAGGTGAGACCTCCAGCACCCACCAGCGGGCAGTGACTGAGGTCACCGTGCTGGGGCTGCCAGTAGCCAGCTGGATGCCAACCCCTGCTACGCTTCAGGAACAAAGCTGTGTGTGGATGAGGCCTTTTGCACCATTTCTGAGCACAAGATCCCCGGCCAGGCCTCTGCAGGAGCAGCTGAATTGTCTCCTGGGCTCTCTTTGGCCCTCCAATGCGTGAACGCGGAATGGCAGTGAGGATCCAGCTCCCCTAACCTGCTAAAGCTGTGGATGAAAATGCACAGTGCTGCCCTTGAAGAAGTGGAATCAGAGGAGTCTGTGATAGGGGAGCGCAGCATGGATAAAAGAAGAATCTGAAGGACTTTGAACATGTGAGAGAATGTGAACAGGGGTGATCCCAGAAGAGAAATTCTTCAGGGAATCAGAAGGAAAATAGATGTTAGGGAGGCAGGAATGAAACTGTTTGAAGTCAGAGGGGGGAAGCTGGATCTTAGTTTTGATCAAGAAAAGGCTGAGAGGAGGCTGAGTAATCTCAAATCAAAGTACGGGGGAAATCAAACCTGAACATTAAACAATCCACAAATCTTTCCCTTGAAGAGATGAGATCCAAGGACCCAGAAAAGCGAGGTGAGAGGTTTCCTTAGATCCTTGCAGAGGGACAGCCTCCGCCTGGAGAAGGGGCCAAAATTCCCCCTGGTCTGATGGAGAGGGGGAGAGGGAAAGTGGTTGATGGGACCAAGAAAGTCTGCAAGCCTTGCAGGGCCAGCAGATTAGCACCATATCCCCACTAGAGCAGAAGGGAGATGTACAGTAAATGTTTGGGTTTTTTTTCCTTCTTTTTTTTTTCTCCCTTTTATTTCCTATCAGGAATTGTGTTTTCTGTCCTAGAAGTGCCCAGGTCTGGCACTATCTACATGGCTGAACCCTTCTCTCAGGTGCTGCCCTGACTCATGCTGGCTGTAAACCACAGCTTCTCCGGTGAGCCTCCTGCTCAAGCTGTGTGAGTGCACGTGTGTGAGCCGCCCTGCCAAGCTGATGGGCCGGAGCTTCAGAATTAACAATGTTGACTCAGGCCTGAAGACTTTAAAAGAATTTCTATCAACAGATTTTAAAGATCTTAAAATATACAGCTCGAGTAGCCTTAGGTTTCTCAGGCAGCTGCCAAATCAAACTGAATAATAAAATAAAACTGAATAATAAAGTGATCACACAGTGTAAGATCAAGACGAGGCCGAGTCAGAAGCACCTCCAGTAATTACTGGATTGGGAGCAGCCTCCTGACAAGCCTTGAGTTTCTGCTGACATGCAAACCGAAAACAGCAACAAAACTTCCCCAAATGAAAACATCTCTTCCCTCCCGGCTCCACGTTTACTCTTTTTGCTCTGTGCTGTTGGCACGAGCTGGGTAGCAGAGGTGCCAGGTGGGGCAGGGAGCCCAGGAAGAGGAGATGCTGCTCAGGAGAGGTGGTGGCCAGGAGGAAAGGGATGTGGGTGACCAGGGCCAGGTGGACTATGGGGACACTGGGGTGTCAAAGGAGGGTCCCGCAGAGGATTATGCTGATGGAGGTGTGAACCTGACACCAACCAGCACCGATCCCTGCTGTTACTCTCATGCCCACACCTAGGAGGTCTGTCTCCTCTTCTCCTCTCCCCGGAGCTGCCACCACGAGTCTTAGCCACCAGCATCACCCGTGGCAGGACGGGTCGCTGCCTGTGCCCACACTGCCCCAGCGTTCCCCACCCGCTCTGCACGGAGCCACAGCAGCTTCCAGCCTTCCTCTTCCCTTTATTGCTGGTTCTGTTGAAAAGCCAGCAAAAATCAATATTAAAAGCCTGGTGAGGGGTTTTACTAAAAAGATTAAATTGCCTTGAAATGCTCGTTCTTTATGATTTGTATTGCGGTAATGCTACAAAGCCCTAAAAGGCCCATATAGGAAACTAGAGTTTGCTTTAAAGCTACATATGTTTTGTTTGGGGACCTGGAGGTTTTTGATGAAAAGATTTCATTTTTTGATAAAAACATTCTGGTGAAAATGGAGCTATTGAGAAAGAAGAACCAATTTTTATTCCTTTTTGGTGACATTTTTCATGAGATAAAATGTAATTCCTGAGAATCTCTAACTCTGGTCCTTTTTCATTCTTTCTCTCTCGGCTCCTGGCATCTATTTCCCATTGTCCTTTCAGAGTGCCAGGGCAAATATATCTTTCTATTTTGGTATTGTCAAGAGGTAAGGCTGTAGGGAAAGGTAATATCTTTTCTTAGAGCAACTGATAGAACTGGAAAAAAATGGACTTATTTTTGGGTATAGAAGCCCTGTCTGCCTCTTTTGTTTATAAATTACCCTTCTGTTCTCCTGGAGACCTTCCTGTCTCTCCACTGAACTCTTTTAACTCTAGCATATACACTCAAAAAGGGTGCTCATCATTTATCTTTACTGCTCCTGCAATCTTCTCGTCACCTCTGCTTGCTTTCCTCCTTCAGCTACTTATTCTTCTCCACTTCGCAATCTTCTCAAGTGGCATCTGTAGCTTGTATTTTATTACTTTTGTGCGCGTCTTCCTAATCCTCCATTATTTGGGGCATATCCGTTGTTATCTGTGTTAGTCTTCTCTGTGCCCTGGGGATGTTTATCGCTAATTGGTTCACATAAATGGGGAGGTAAACATTCATTTCTCTTAGAATACACATTTCACTTGCAGTGGTGCAACACACAGAGCTGTTATTCTTTCCTTCTTTCCTTCGTGGTGTAATGCCCAGCTGGTCAGAGCTGCAACACAATAAAGCACACCCCTGGCAAGGTCTGCAGTGCTCTGGGCAGCAGGCGTAGGATGAGCATTGCTGCCTTTGAAGTCCGCTGACCTTGCTGGGAGATGTGGCAGGGCCTGCAGAAGTCAGGGCTGTCTGCAACGCCACCTCTCTGTGGGGAAACACCCTTGTAAACCCTCAGCTTAACAGGAGGAGGGAGACTGTAGAGGGAAGAGGCAGGCAGTAGGTTCTGCTCACCGTTTTTGTTGGCAGTCTGGATAGTGGAATAGGTAGTAAGTATGCTGCTTAAATTTACAGATGTCTCCAAGCTAGAGGGGACTGCAACAGGGTGAGAATTGAAATGAGTTCAACACATTGCAGAAACGCTTTGGAAGAAACAAACAAGAGTTAAAGGCAAGTGTAAGGCAGGAAACTTGGGCTGGAATAATCAAGGTACAGAAGATGAGGACAGGGCAGCAGTTCTGCAGAAAGGGAGCCCATGAGGAGAGAAAAGTGAAGTCTGGACCAGAAGTCCAGCAAGTCTCAGGGCCATACTGGGGGAATAAAAGGCATAGAGAGGTGGGGCATCGTGTAACAGGATCCTTTTACAGCAAAGTGGTGGAGACTGGGTCTTGGAGAGGCTTTTTGTGGGGTGAGCAGTGCCCAGGGTGAGGATGCTGAGGAAGAAGGTCTGCCCGGGCTGAGGCATGTGGAGATGATGGAGCTGTGGGGCAGGAGCTTGAGGCAGCGGCTCCCCAAGGTCCTTGAGCCCCTGGCCTTGTGGGCATGCATCTCACCCAGAGCTCTGTCGGGTCACTGCCCGGGGGCAGGGGCAGCTCAGCCTGCCCAAAATGTTGCCCTCAGATGTGTGTCAGTTTGTCTTGGTGGTGCACGAGCTGCCTGTAGGTAGGCCAGGGAAGGAGGCTTAATTTTTTTCACTTCACTAGACATTCTTGTGGTAAGAGGAGGATAGGAGTTTAACTATGCTGTTGGCCTTGAGGCTTTAGGTATCAAGGAGAGATTATTTCAGAGATCAAACTGAATGCTGATTCGAGGGAGTAGCTCATCCCTTTGGAGTGCTCCAGAAGGAAAAGGGAACATTGTCAGTTCAATCTACTGTGGAATTTATAGTATTAATGATCTGAAGAACACTTTAGGGATTTCTGTCAGATGTCTATTTTAATTTAAACTCTTGGGTGTTTAACTACCCAAAATATTGAGTTCTAGTCATTATAAAAACTAATAACTGGCTTATTTTGCTGCTAATTCAGAAACTGAGGTTAATTATCTATAGTGAAAGGATGTGGTACTAATCTAAAGTCTACCTGAATAAGACACTGTGGTTAATTGATTCCCCATGAAATGACAAAAGATTCCTTCAGAGTAAAGAGATGTTTAATATTCAGGGCTTTCTCAAAGGTACTAAGTTTTGCTTCTCATGAAAGGTTTTTTTGTTTGGCTTCATCAGCTCTACCCTACCCTTTTATTATTCTTATTGTCACTGTATCTTTATGAAAAGTACCATAGGGTGATTATATGTTTTCCAGGTGGAAGCCTGTCTGCTACATCCCTTTGATTTGCAATAAACCTTGTCTACAACAAGATGTTACCCCACCGAAGGAGATGGGAATTGCTGGATATCCAACCCACAGATGTGGGGTTGCACCTAGAATTTGGCACCTGTGTTTGGTGCACACAGACGGGTGCTTCAGCAGAGCTGCATGCTTGCAGGTGAGCATGGCCAGGATTTGGCCCTGCTAACTGTTCCAAAATCACGGGCACATTAGTCTCAGAGCTGAAATTCTTCTTTGTGCTCTGCCCTGTATTCTCTCTGCTCTGCCGTTCCCTTTCTTCAGGGCTCTGAATCTGCCCACTCTCCCACTAGTTTATTTAATAAAAATTACTTTCTGAGCCAACTGCAAGCAGCTAAAAAAATTAATTTAAACTTCCCCTAAAGTGTATTTGTCACTGTCCACTGCTGTAATTCATTACGTTGTATCCTAGCATACCCTGAACATGGCAGTGTCAGAACTCTGATGATGTAGTGCAGTCTCCATGTATAATATATCATGAGAACAGTTTCAACTTGGGTGATATATTAAGCCAGCCTGGAAGGATTTTGAAAATAGACCTAAATTTCTAGATTTTTTTTGTGTAGCTTTGAGTGGTTGAAGGCTTCACCCAAAGCATTTTACTGAATATCTAAATCATTTCTCCCTTGCCAGGCACATGTTGGAGTTAGGGATGTCAATTAACCTAGTGGGGCTTTGTGGCTGGCTGACCGAAGCCTACGTGTGCATCACGTCTACTTACCGAGCTCATTTTGCAGTCCTGCCTTGACCTGGTTATGTTTAAAACAGCAAATATTAAATATGCTTGCAATCTAAAGCGAGCAACGTGCAGTTCAGCCGGGCTTGTGAGTGACGGGAATACAGATGTGGGTGTGATGAGCACGATTGTCTTCCGCTGCATGGGATCCAGCCCTCCCAGCAGAATGCTGTGCGGGTCAGAAAGCACCAGGCTTTCCTGATGAAAATAACTTGTGAAGGATGGGCTGGGTGGTGTGGCTGGATGCAACTGGACCGAGAGGGCAGGAAAGGGAGAAAGAGCTGAGAACAAAAGCTGGAAAATGTAAACCGAGAGTAAATAAATAGGAGGGCAAAAACAGCAGGAAGAGGAAGGAAGAAGTGGGAAAGAAAATGGGAACAGCTATTAGGCTTTGCTTACAGGCAAGTAGCTTGTTATCAGGGCAGGACAGGACTTTCTCTTGGAATTGTTTTTCAGTGCAAATAAAAATAAATTTAGGAAAATAACACAAACATGAACAGAGGTTTTCTACCTCCTCTCCCTCCCACTTCACATCAAAATGCAACTTCTCCCCCTCTCTCTTTCCAAGTTTTCTGTTCTTTTTGACAAAAGCCATGTATTTCAACCAGATCTCCTTTTAAGAGGCTTGGGGTCTTACTGAGCTTGTAGGATGCTGTAAGGTGATCATGAAATGGATTTTGCACTCTTGTGCTGTGCCCCATCAGTAGGGCACAGAAGCAATTCCTGCCCTTTTTGAAGTAACTACCTTCAGCTGTCAGTGTCGTGGCAGAGAAAAAAAATATCTGCATGTATGTGGGAGCTTTTTAAATGTTATCTAACAGTAGTAACCATTTAGCCCAACTCAATGTTCAAACTTAATTACCAGGAAAATGCTATACATTATGAAGATTTAAATCATTTAACAAGCCTTGTGAGAGTCTTAATGCTTTTTTATTACTGCCTTTTTCATATCCTTTTTATTTGATAGGACAAAAGCAATACTTAGCATAGATTTCCAGGGCAGGGATCGCCTTGTTCTTTGCAGAAGGCACAGCAGATTGAAAAGTAGGAGAAAAAAGAAGTTTGCACTGATCACTAAATCTGGGACAGGGATGACAGAGAGCCCCTTTGCAGCCAGGCTGTTTCCATATGAATTTTGGCAGGGTCCAGAGTAGGGAGGGTGCACCCAAGGAATTAGCCCCAGTGTGGTTACTCCTGATGTGCAGTCAAGTTAGCAGCTTGTGGTGGTTTACTTTATAGCATGGTGGTTTACATTCTGGCATCATGATGCATCCACACCTGAAGAAGAGTCTGTAAAGGGAAAGAAAGAAGAAATACTTTAGGCTGAAAGAGCAAACAGGACAGAGGTAAATGCCAGCCTAGTGCTTGTTCACCCCTCGTCTAAACTGCTCCCCTTACTAAGGCCACAGCTCGATGAAAAAGCAAATCCAGCATTAGGACCTAAAATACTCAGTCCCTTTGTGGCAACACACTGCTGTGGCAAAAACTGTGCTCGTGCAAAACCTGTGAGGAGCTGCAGCACCAGGCAGGGCCCCGTTCACTGCAGCTTCCCCTCGCACTGTACAGGTTGTCTGTGTTAAGCACAGAGCAGAGGTATAATATATGTGTCTCCCTAGGCAGTAAAGTCCTACCTCCACCTTCTGCTGAAAGCCCAATTTAGTCCGTAAGCTTTTCTGTATGGCCAACCTTTGCACAGTAAGCTGGGATGTGAGCCTACTGAATTTATGGATTTGGTGCTGAGAGGCTCTTTTTGTCTTTTGCCCT